TGTCTATTTTTGTGCCAGTACCATGCTGTTTTTATGACTATAGCTCTGTAGTATACTTTGAGATCTGGTATAGTAATCCCCCCAGTGCTGCACTTTGTGCTCAGGGTTGCTTTGGCTATCCGGGGTCTTTTGTGCTTCCATATGAACTTAAGGATTTTTTTTTTTTCTAATTCTATGAAGTATGTCGCGGGGATTTTGATTGGCATTGCATTGAATCTACATATTGCTTTTGGTAGGATGGCCATTTTCACAATATAAATTCTTTCTATTCATGAGCATGGGAGGTCCTTCCATCTCCTGGTGTGTCTTTTGACTGAGGAATTCAGTCCATTGATATTTAAGGTTATTACTGAAAGATGTGTATTGGTTGCTGTCATTTTGATTGCTGTTTGTGTTCTCTAATTTTGTGATTCCTAGGTTATACCTTTTTTATTTTCTTTCATTGCCTTTGTCTGCTCTCTGTATTGCTTCAAGTATTCTTTGAAGGGCTTTTTTTTTGTGGACATGTATTCTTTCAGGCTATTCGTGGCACGGAAGATTTTTCTTTCCCCCTCAACTATAATAGATATTTTTGCTGGGTAAAGTATTCTGGGCTGGCATCTATTGTCACGAAGAACTAGAAATACCTTGGTCCAGGCTCTTCTGGCTTTCATTGTTTGCACTGATAAGTCAGCTGTAATTCTGATGGGCTTTCCTTTGTATGTGACTTGTTGATTTTCTTTTGCTGCTTTCAGTATTCTCTCTTTGTTCTGTACATTTAGTGTTTTTACTATGATATGTCACAGGGAATTTATTTTCTGATCCCATCTGTTTGGTGTTCTATGTGCTTCTTGACGTATTTGTATGAGGATGTGTTTCCTTAATTTTGGACAATTCTCTTCTAAAATCCTATTTAAGATCTGGTCAACACCATTAACCTGAAATTATTCTCCTTCCTCTATTCCTATGATCCATAGATTTGGTCTTTTCATGGTGTCTCACATCTCTTGCATATTCCATTCCTGTGTTTTTTAAATGTTTCCATAATTTTTGCTTGAGTGGTCCAATCCTTTGACTTTATCCTCCGGTGTTGATATTCTGTTTCCATTTCATTCATTCTAGCTGTGAGGCTTTCCCCTGTTGTTTCAAGTTGGCTTATTAAGTTTTGCACTTCCTTCTTCATTTCTGCCTGAGTTTTCTTTAATGTTTCTTATGTCTTTTGTGAATTCATTCAGAAGTTTATCCCTACCTTCTTTTAGCTCTTTGATTTGTTTGTTCATGTGTTCTTTAAATTCATTGAATTCCTTGATCATGTTTGTAACTTTTTTTTTAATTCATTGTCCTGGGTTATCTCTAGGGGGTTCTCCTTGAACTCTTCTACAGGACTGGTGAAGTTTGGTGCAGACATAGTGTTTTGGCTTTCCATTTTATTATTCTTTCATTGTGATTTTGGCATGTGAATTTCTTTTGTTGTTTATGATTCTGATATGAGAATTAAGTTGAAGTATGCTTCTGTTTGTATTATTGGGTGCCTAGATCCTTTCTTTATTGGTTATGTAATGGTGGTTGATACAGGGTTCAGGCCTCTCAGGTTTAATTTGGAAGGAACTGATGGCTTCAGATCAGGTATTCAGGATTACCCACAGAAGCCCAATTCAGTTCCAGTCTGGTATGCTCAGGCTTCCTTCACCATGTGGAGGCAGGATTTGGGGCTTTCAGGCAGTCCCCTGCATTCTCAGGCTCTCTGCCTGAGGGAGGCCAGAACTTGGCACTGTCTGGCGGTCTGCTGAGATCAGAGCCACTACACCAATGGAAGTTGGAACTCACTCTCTCAGGCTATCTGTCAGGATCTCAGCCTTAGCCTACCAAAGCCAGATCTGCCCTGGGACCTTGAGAGGGGCCTTAGGAAATCCCAGGTAGGGGGATGGGTATGGCACAATTAGGAGAATCTCACCACCATGTGGAGAAAGGATTGGGGGCTCTCAGGCAATCTCCCGCATTCTCAAGCCCTCTGTCAGGGGGAAGCCAGAACTCAGCACTCTCTGGTGGTCTGCTTAGATCTGAGCCGCTACACTGATGGAGGTCCGAACCCACCCTCTCAGGATGTCTGCTAGGATCTCCCCATGGATTCTTATAAGTTTTATTTAATGTGAGTGAGAAAGAAGAAAGTTTGATGCCTGGTCAGACTCTTTTTCTGGCTGTGATACCAAAAGACAGCTAAAGTGGCACACACGTGTTGTGAAAGGCAGCTTTTTTCCCCATGCTGTGACCCCTATACCTGCTTCAGTTTGTCACAGTTTTGTTGATCTGACAGGGCTTCTTTTGACTGGGTTTCTAGTCAGTTACCTACTCTGTTATCTTCTGTCTTGACTGGCTTCTTCCTCTACTGATGGAAACTGAGAAGGATGAAAGAGGACACGGAGGGGAAGGAATGATGCTAAGAAGATAGAAGTGTGAAAGAAGGAAAAGATGGGCATAAGAGGTGAGATACAGAAAAGAAAAGAGGGAGAGACTTAAATTTGGAGACAGGGATAGCGGATTCCACAGTTTAGGCTCAGTAGGATATAAATTTAGGAGGATTGAGAGCTGTTTTCTTTACAGAAACCCTTCATGGTGTGAATTGAAAGGTAGAAATAATGGGTTTTTAAAAATATTTATTTATGACTTTTATGAGTATGAGTGTACTGTCTGTGTGCATGTAAATGCACTTGTGTCATGCAATGCCCGTGGAGGACAGAAGAGGGCATCAGATCCCCTGGAACTGGAGTTATGGACAATTGTTAGCTGCCATGTGGGTGCTGGGATTTGAACCTGGGTCCTCTGCAAGAAAAGCCAGTGTTCTGAACAACTGAGCCATCTCTTCTGTCCCAATAATGGGTTTTAAATGACTAGAAAGACTGACATAGCCAGGTACATTCTAGAACTTTCAAGGTCACTAATATTAGAAGTGGATACTTGGATCTTCTCTGACTCCAGGGTCATTTTTTAAGGCATGCACAATTTACCAACACTTCTCAGGGTTTATCCTGGTTCTAAAGCATCTTGTGTGCAGGGCTGGACAAGAAGGAGGGAGGCCATGAGGAGCAGCCGGTGCTCCAGGAGCTCTGAGGTCCCCCTTACAAGCCAGTGCAGGCTTCATTATTCAGTGAGAGAAGGGCTTAAACTTAATAAGACAATGAGGCATGGTGGGTCAATCATCTAGTCCCTGTTTGAAATCGACTAGGTTTATGGACAATTGTTAGCTGCCATGTGGGTGCTGGGATTTGAACCTGGGTCCTCTGCAAGAAAAGCCAGTGTTCTGAACAACTGAGCCATCTCTTCTGTCCCAATAATGGGTTTTAAATGACTAGAAAGACTGACATAGCCAGGTACATTCTAGAACTTTCAAGGTCACTAATATTAGAAGTGGATACTTGGATCTTCTCTGACTCCAGGGTCATTTTTTAAGGCATGCACAATTTACCAACACTTCTCAGGGTTTATCCTGGTTCTAAAGCATCTTGTGTGCAGGGCTGGACAAGAAGGAGGGAGGCCATGAGGAGCAGCCGGTGCTCCAGGAGCTCTGAGGTCCCCCTTACAAGCCAGTGCAGGCTTCATTATTCAGTGAGAGAAGGGCTTAAACTTAATAAGACAATGAGGCATCGTGGGTCAATCATCTAGTCCCTGTTTGAAATTGACTAGGTAGGAGTCAGACTCAAGTCTCCCTGTTGTGGCTATGACCAATCTGCCCTCCAAGCTCTGTGCCTTCTTTTCTGACCTGGATATGGCTACAAGTGGATCTGGAAGGAAAATCTGGAGAATGTATTAACCCACCATCCCTTTTTCAGATTATGTGTTAAAACATTTATTGAGCTTCATGAAGCACGGTAGTTTTCTCAAATGGAAAATGCTTTAGGCTTTGAGAGGAGAAATGGAATCACTAGACAAAACTTTAAATTATAAGAGGTACCAAATAGTTCAGCACCAGAAACTGAGCCTTTGATCACAGGAGCTGAATCACAAGAGCATGTGTGTCATTGGGCAAGTGGATAGAACATTAAGCTTGTGACTGGGCCAGTGATTGGAAAAGCTTCTCATGACTAGAGGAAGACATTAAGTTGTCCACTGTGTCACAAGAAGGCAGTAGGACCTGTGGTTTAGCCTCTGTCCCTTTCTGGGGGACCTGACAATCATCTCCTGACAACACCCAGGGTCATGTCTCTGCCATCTTCCCATCACTGAGTCTTTGTGTTGAGCTTCCCCTTGTGCTGTTTCACTAGTGACCCGATCCACTCTGAAGTCTCCTGTTTGGCTTCCTCCCAGCTGAAGTGGGGCTCATAGCCCAGATCTTGCTGAGCTTTCTTGTAGGAGAAGGTGAACACGCTATTTGACAAAGTGATTAAGTAGCGGTTGAAGGGAGGCTGATAGTTGTAAATTGGACGAAGCAGGAAGCTCACTATTTCCAGCAGGAAGCCCAGCCAGTACAGTAGGGACAGAGGAAGGCTCTTCCTGGAATCAAGGCAGAGGCCCCATTCCTTGCTCAGGGTGTAATGAAAGTTACTGTAGCTTTGATGAGGTGTGTCATCTGTGATGTAATAGAACTGTCCTTGAATGTTTGGTGTCTTCTTGGGATCCTGCAGGCCCCTGGAGGCCAGAATGTGTGCCCAGGCCACATTGCCCACGTACACTGGGTTGATCAGAGACAATGCATTAACATTTGTTATCATGCCATTGTTCTTGAGGGCTGTGTTCACAGTGGTTGAAATGACAGGGCTTCCTGCCCCATAAATGTATGGGGGTCGTAAGGCACAAGTACGCAAAGTGCCACCATTTTTCAGGGTGCACCCATTTGCTGCCAACACCGTCTTCTCGGCCATCTTTTTGCTGTATGAGTATGGATCAGACCATGTGCTTTCATGATGTTCTGCCTCATGGCCATTATGAATGCCCTCTTTGTAGGAGTTTGGCCCAGCTACACTGGCTGAGCTGGTGTAGATCAAGACTGGCACACTGGCTTCCACACAGGTGTTCAACAGGAGCTGAGTACCTGTTCATAGGAAGGGCAGTATCACTGTCACTGTCAGAAAACAAGCCAAAGAGCCCACTATGGCCACACCCCCAAGCCCAAGGGAGGTGTTACTAGAGTTCTGAATGTGTTCTTACTACTCCTTGACCCAGATCTGCCATGCTACAAGCTGCAGAATAATTCAAAATTAGAGGAAGAGGCATTTGGATTCTGGTAAACAAGAATTTCTAGGTTTCTGGTCTTATAGATCATGGACTCTCTTTCTCCTTTTGTCTCTCTCTGTCTCTGTCTCTGTCTCTCCCCTTCTTTAATCTCCCCATGTGTGTTGGTGTGTATTTGTTTTCAGTGATGAGAATCAAACCCAGTTTCTCCCACATGCTAGTCAAGTCCTCTTTCACTGAGCCACTTCCTCAGACCCAGGTTACTTTTCTTCTGAAAGAGGCTCCTTTGTATTTATCAAAACTAACATAAAAAAATTCTCATTTAGTTTGGCAATACTGCTCAGGGGTTGAGTCCTTGCCTTTTGTGCAAGGTTTAATCCCCAGAACTGGTTAAAAAAAAAACAAAAAACAAAAAAAAACAGAACAGAACAAAAAACAATGACTCCTCCCCTAATTAAAGGCAAACAATTACCATTTGTCATGCATTTAATTTCATTGAAGATGGATCAATTTTTAATCCAAAAATTCAGCAGGCCATATTCGTGAGGGTTGTTCAGGATTCACATAATGCTTACTCATGTAGAGTTACAATATATAATGTGGAATATATATATATATAGCAGTGTCTCACTATATAGCCCAGACTGGGCTTAAATGTAAGATTATTGTGACTGGTATTGCAAGTGTGTACCACCACTTCTGGCTATGCAATATACACCCTTGAGTAGACATTATGGTTTTGCCATTTTTCTCATTTGGGATCAATACAGACTTTGTCACAAAGAAGATTCTTTGCATCACTGAGCAGACAGATGCTGGAAAGACTGGCTTGGGCAAGAGGCACGGTGATTACGCTATGTGGCAAGCTTCTTTGAGATAATATATCTCTTGTTAAAGGAGATTGGAGATTGCTTTAAGAGTCACACAGCATTTAGGGATGAGGGTCTGAAGAGGAGAGATTTGGGGTCCTGGCTGAGACCAGTCTTCAAAAGTAGGCTGATGGTGATCTGAAGAGACAGTGTTATGGAATTTGGAAAATCAGTGTTAAGAAAGCAAGTGCTGGGCCATTCTTCCTGGCAGACCTCTGTGGAGCAGCTTTGCTAGCTCTCTGTGGGGGAGTCCTTCCTTCAGGTAGGTAGGGGGCTCTCTCAGAGCTAAGTACATATGCAAGGTCTGGCCCAGGGAGGCAGTGGGTAGATGGGCATCAAACATCTGGAGTTGGAGTCCAGTCATTTTGGTTTGGAGGAGTGGGGAAGAGCTTTCCTGGCAGTTGGAGTGACATAGGTATAACTCCACATACTTACCCTTATTGATTACCTGTTCCTTCTGCTCCTAACCTGGTTTCCTCTTATAAACACTGAGTTCTGCCAACTGGACATAGCGGCAGAAGTGAAATGGCAAATCTAACTCCATTTTGCTCTAGCTGACTTTGATTTTACCTTGTGTTTTTGCCCAGCCATTCCCACTGCAGTCAGCCAGGTAGAATGTCTCATGCAGGCAGTTTCAGGGAGGACATTGTTTCTACAATACTGGGAAAGTTACAAGAGCAAGGTAGCATGTCCAGATAACAATCCTCCTTTCCAGCTACACCTGCATCTCTATGGAGCCCATTGTTTTTACAATTCTGAGAAACTTGTCTTTTCCTTATTGAAACTTTTTGTAACTGAAAACCTCTTTGTTAACTGACCTGCCTCTAGTCTAGTGTAACTATGGTGATCTGATGTAACTATGGTTATTAGCTTTGCCCCTGGCACAGTGTAATTGTGGTTTTAAGCTTTGTAAATCCTGCCCTGCTTCTCCTTGGGGTGGAGAGTTCTTTTGGGCATTAGCCCTTTCTCTGACCACTGGCTATTGATAAAGGACTTCTAATCTGACCATCACTGTGTGGCATTCCTCTGTACATCTCACTTGGCATTACAGAAGCACAGCCGGCATTCCACAGTGGCTCCTTCCTGACCTCATGTTCTTTGACTGCCATCTTTCCACTTGCTCCATCTAAAAATTTTTTAACTTATTTTTATTTTATGTGTATGAGTGTTTGCCTGCATACATGTAAGTGTACCACATGTGTGCAATATCCATAGAGGCCAGAAGAGGAAGATGGATCCCCTGGAACTGGACTTAAGGATGGTTGTTTGCTGCCATGTGGCTGCTGGGAACAGAATCCAGGTCCTCTGGAAGAGCAGCCAGTGCTCTTAACCTCTAAGCCATCTCTCCAGCCCCCAATTGCTCTATCTCTTCTGCAGGCACTGTACCTTTCAGATTGATATCTATGATGGTCTGTCTGGGAATGGCACCTAAGATGTCAACGGCAGCAGCAGCATGGATGACAACAGAGATGTCCTGGCAGGCTCTCTTCAGGCACTGAGCATCCAGAATGTCTCCTTCCAGCACCGTCACCTTGGTCTTTGTCTGCAGCTCTGTGCAACACAGGCAGGTCAGAGGAAGCTTTCTTCATGGGATAGGTAGTTTCCTGACACAGGCATATGTTACCTAGGCCTTCACAGTGGGGAAGGCAGTCTTTCTATTGAAGAAACAATATATGTGCAAAAACCAGAATGTAGCATTTACAGGGAAAGAAGGAGCACCTATTTCTATCCCATCCTGTTGCAGAAAATGAATTTGAGTAATAAGATATCATTAGTACTTGCACATAAAAATGTTTAAACAGTTATGTGAATTTCACCAATTCCTTAAAGTGACTGGAGAGGTGATGAGAGTTGAATGTAAAAGGGTAGAATTAGAATTTAATTCTGTAGAGAATGAGCAATTGCGTACGCATTTGGACTGAAGGAGGAACAGGGCAATGTAGGACACTGTACCAGTGCTCTTCTCGGGCTGTGAAATGTGCAGGTGTCAAAGTGTAAGAGACAGCTAGGTGAGCAGCCGATTAATTGGAATGTGTGCTCCAGAGTTCCACGAGTGGGAGCCAGGTGCTGGTGCCAGCAGAGGGAACAGGAGCGGGAGACACACAGACAGAAACGTCAGCCCTTCCCCTGATAGGTCCTGGTACTTACTGAGTACAAAACAGGTGTTAATTTCAGCATGCATGGCTCCTACTTGAATAAGAGGAAAGTAGGGCTGCTGATGGGAAATTTAGAATGGGCTCTAAGGATAAATTCAGGTAAGCATCTCTTATCAGGTATATTACAAATGAGTCAGCCTCCAAGGAACCTCTGTTGCAGCCATATAGCCCAGGCCAGTGGACACATCGGTATCTTCAAACTCCTTTGAAATATCCACCAGTATAATGTTATCTAAATCATTTCACAAATTAACCGTATGCCACATGCAGTCTGCACGCATACCCTATACTGATTTGCTTTTCATAATTTGTAAGCAACTTTTACAGTTTGCTATTTCCTTTTCCAGCTGTGTCATGAAATAGGAATTCTGATGTCCCCTGTCTATGTGTGTGTGTGTGTGTGTGTGTATGTGTGTGTGTGTGTGTGTGTGTGTGTGGAGGGGGGTGTGAAGTTCAGAAAGGTTCAGGGACAGGTCTAAGGACACACTTCTAGTGAAGGGTCTATTGTCCCTCTGCCTCCAACCCATGCTCACTTCTCCATGCACCTGAAGGGCAAGATAGTCATTTGAACTGAATTTACAAGGAAGCCAACGAACAGTGACTGAGACAGGAGAAATCCAGAGCTGGGGAAATTCCCCCGGACATATTACAACTGCTTGTTCTTTCAATCCTTGGCCACGTGTGTCTACTCCAGACCTCCTCCCTGTGTCAGAAAACTCTGAAAAGGCCTTAAAGTAGAGAAAGATAGAGAAAAGTTTTCTGGGAAGGAGTAGGTGCCAGCTTGAGAGTGGAATTCTCTGACTGTGTTTCCTTCTGATCCTCCCTTCTTTCCTCTGCTTCTCTTTCACTGCTGACTTCAGACAGACTGGCTCAAAAGAGTTGCTGAGACAAGGCAGGAGGAGCCTAGACCCAGAATGAGTAGACTCATAAATCAGTTCTTAGGGGTGAAATCTCAGGAGAGGGGATCTTGAGTGCTTTGTAATAGATCCGTAGCTCCCACATTGCCCAAGACACCATGGTCCTAACAATTGCTCTGCATAGCCAGATCATGGAGATGATGTTGCATTATGAGCCACAGAAGGAGACCCAGAAAGAAGTTACTACACAAACCAATCTTTAAAAGTCCCGAGGCTACAGCTAGGCCTCCTGGACTTCAACTCTTCTTTGCCTTATTTCCTTCTTGGGGAAATCAATTAACCTCTGTGTTGTCTCATCTGTAGCACTGGAGAATAACAATGCTACTTTTTTTTTAGCCCTCTCATGGGGTGGGGTGGGGAGAAGGAGCTGTCACTGCAAATATGTCTCCCAGATCTTCGCACAGAAAGCACTGTAAGGATTCTCTACTCATTCATCATACCCCCTGAACTGTTTACCACTGATGGGTTCTTTATCTAGGCCGAGCTATGTCCTTGCCTGGCATCAGACATTAGTTTGCAAATGTTGCTAAATCATTAGGATTAAGGTTAGTATTGTCCTGTGTTAATGCTTATTCGATGCCACTGAAGCAATCCAGGGAGGAGATCTTACAGTGCAAGAGGTTAGAGAGGAACACACAAGAGCAGAATGGTGCATGTGGTCTCAAAGTGCTCTGGACGGTGCCTGTGTACACGTAGGGCCCTCTCGTGATAGGACAGTTCCTTTAAGAATTTGTTTTTACTACAAATTATAGACATTAAGGAAAGAGAAGAGCCTTAGGTCAGTGGCATTGACCAACCAGATCTTCAACAAGACTATAGAAGAAAACTTCCCTAAAATAAGGAAATATATACACATACAGAACACCAAATAGACTGGACTGCAGCCCCACCAAAAGATGAATTTATTTTTAGCAGAAGTACTTTCACCTTCCTCTCCATTTTCTTACTGCTCCACCCCAATATTTTTCCACGGATTCTTCCCTTTACTTTTGCCTGGCATTCTAAATTCTAAAATGCATTCAGAAAATGGTTAAGATGTTAATTTTTGTGTACTCTTTATTTAATTTGTAGGGTCCCCTAACTTCTTTGACTTCTGTAATGTCCCTCCTTTGTCTTTAGCTCTGCCTCTTGCAGACACACACACAAAAGAGAGGTACAGGAACTAGCCCACAGAGCTGAGATCAACTGCGATGTGCCCGAGGGAGAAACACACAAACCCTGAGTGTTGAAGATACCACTCAGCATGTAGCCTTCCTGCCCTGCTTCTCCTTTACCTACTCTTTTGCACAATATTTTCTTTAAATTATTTTAAGATTTTATTTGTTTTGGGAATATGTATGTGTACATGCGGGTGGGTACATGTGTGCTATGGTGTGTATATGGAGGTCAAAGTCAACTTCTGGGAGTCAGTTCTTTGCCTCTACTATTTGGGCTCCAAAGACTGAACTCAGGTTGTTAGTAGGCTTGGCAGCCAGCAGTTTTACCTACTGTCCTAGTTTGTCTCTCCATTGCTGTGACAAAAACATTCTGACCAATGCCAACTTGGGGAGGAAAGGGTTTATTTGGCTGACATCTCCTGGGTCACAGTTCATCAGGGAGCCCAAGGTAGGAACTCAGAGCAGGAACCTGGAGGCAGGAACTGGAGCACAAGCCATGGAGGAATGCTGCTTACTGGCTTGCTCCCCTGCTCAGCCTGCTTTCCTATACAACATAGGCTCACCTGCCCAGGGGGCGGCACTACCCAGTGGGCTGGGCCTCCCACATCACTCAATAATCAAGAAGATGCCCCACAGACATGACCAAGGGACATTCCAAGGGAGGCAATTCTCCTTCAACCTAGGTGTGTTAAGTCGACACTAAAGGAATCCAACACAATTGACTACTGGTCAACTTGACACACAAACACATTACTATTAAACCACAGCCTTTCCATTTCTTGTCCCCAAGATATGATTTTAAGATTAATATCACAACATAAGACAGTACAACCTTAAAAACCCCACAGTCCTTAAAAAATACAAATTCTTAAAAGTTTAGTCTCTTTTAAAAGTCTCTTAACTGTGGGCTTCTGTAAAATCCAAAACAAGTACTGTCTTGTTTCAAAGGGAAGAATAGGGCACACCTAAGCAAAACTAAAGTCCAGCAAAGTAGCTCAAGGCTGGACATCTTGGACTCACGATCTTTTGGGCTCTAGAATGTTCTGGCAGCTCCATGTCTCTGACTCTGCTGTCCACAGCACACTCAGCTTGTCTCGCAGACCCAGGCCAGCTCCATTCCACACCCACTGCGGTCCTTGGTGGTCGTCCCATGGTTCTGGCATCTCCAAAAAGCTGGGGTCTCCACTGAAACTGAGGCTACACCTTCACCAATGGCCTCTTCTTGCCTCTTGGGGTGCAAAGCCTCAGATTCTCTCCATGACCCTTCAATCTGGGGTTTTCACTGCAACCGAAGCTGCAATTTCACCTATGGCCTTTCCTGGCCTCTCAGAGTGCCAAGTCTCAGCTGCTCTCTGTGACCCCTTCACACTTTCAACACCAGAACCATGCAGGAGACTCTTACACATCACCAAGTCCTGCTTCCAGCTAGAGATGGAGGCTCATGTCCCCTCTGTGTAGTGACCCTGAGGAAATACCTTCCAGAAGATTTCACCACAGTGATGCTGGTCTCTTGTTACTTACAGCTGAGTTTTCAGCCCCAGCTAACCAGCATCAATTGTCCCAGTAAAGCAAAGGTTTTACTTCAGGTTCTGGTCTCTTCTTAATCACAACTGATTCTTCAGCCCCAGCTGACCAGAACCCACAGATTCTCAATCTAAAATCTCACGCAAACAGCCCTGATAGTCTCTGCTTCCTTTTGAAACTTCACAAGCCAGGCCTTCATTGTTCACAACTCTTTCAGCTTAACTGTTCCAAGCTCCACTGTTGCAAACTCTAAGCACTCAATGACTTTTCCAGCCCAAAGTTCCAAACACGTCTGAAAACCTCCCCCAAATACCAAGGTCAGGTCTGTTGCAGCAATACCCTGCCATCCTAGTACCAGTTTCTGTCCTAGTTTGTTTCTCCATTGCTGTGACAAAACACTCTGACCAGTGCTAACTTGAGGAGGAAAGGGTTTATTTTGTATTACATCTCCTGGGTCACATTTCATAAGGGAGCAAGCTAGTAAGCAGTGTTCCTCCACGGCCTGTGCTCCAGCTCCTGCCTCCAGGCTCCTACCTTTGGTTCCCAGATGAACTGTGACTCAGGAGATGTAGGGCAAAATAAACCCTTTCCTCCCCAAGTTAGCACTGGTCAGAGTGTTTTGTTTCAGCAATGGAGAAACAAAGTAGGACACCTGCTGAGCCATTTTGCCATCCTTATATTATTTTCTCTTGTTTGCTTTGAGACAGGGTCTCTCTCACTTTGTAACCCAAGCTGTCCTTAAACTTTTGATGCTCCTCCTTCCCTCCCTCCTTTCCTCCCTTCTTGTCTTCCTTCTTTCCTTTGTTATTGACCCTTCAGTTTCTTCTGGAATGGTCGTAGTATTTGGACATGTCCTCCTTGTTTCAGAACATTTGTCAAACTTTTGCTTGGTAGCATTTGGTCTACAACTCTAAATTTACTTTTTGCTGTTTTAATCTCTTTCTCCTGGTCATTGCAACCTTGCCCTTCTTTTTGTTATAGAACTTCCATGAATTCTTGATTCACAAAGTGCTAAGGATAAGAGGCACTAATTCTTTCCAATGCAAAAGGGTGGGGGTTTCAGGAGGAATTCCCCAGGGCATGTAACAGTGGCCTTACAGGAAAGTGCAAAAATAGCATAACTCAGTCCCAGGTCAGAAGGATCTTTCTTGCCTCACTGATTTATATTCATTCTATAAACATTCCAAATCAACCCAAAACACACTTGCAATTTCAGAAACCACTGCTAGGATGGGACACAGAAATTCGAAGAACAAGGAAGTATTTGAGGAAAGGTCAGTATTTGGTATTCTAGCTAGATGTTTGGTAGTTACAGTGACTCATCTTGTAATAATTAAGAAACATGGAGAAATTTAACTAAAGATGATATGGCTTTATGTTTCCCTCAGTGGGGAGCATTTGATTAGTCTTACATTGGTTTTCTTGAGCACTGGACTAGAGGCCTTGGATAGTGAAACAAAAGTGTGTGTGTGTGTGTGTGTGTGTGTGTGTGTACATTTATACAATTTCTGACTGGCTGTATCTATTTTTGGCAGAAATAGGAAATGTTTTGAAATTTAGAGCAAACACTTTCTAAAAACGATTGAAAACTGTGATAAATTGAAACAGGAGGGGAAAGTTTTCCAAAGCTCGATGAAGCTTTCCTGGATACTCTCTTGGGTTGGGTGAGTGAAGAAAATGTTCTTCGTTGTACTCACTAAAGGGCTACATTGAATCAGAAAACAAATTAACTTAAAGGGACTTCTCAACTAGACAGGTCTGCAAAGTGTTCTGTGGACAAGTCAATTGTTATAGATGGGTAAATGAGGTAAACGGATATGGGATACATATTTATATGTAGATATTTGTAAAGGAATTCTTCATAGGTTCAAAAATATTTTTCAGTAACCTAAAATCTTACGGACATTTAGCACTAAATTAATATTCATTAGATTGTGCTATTTTTGCTTGTTTGTTTTGAGACAGGATATCTAGGTTATAGCGAAGGCAATTAAAACACTAAAGCATTCGTTATTAGGCAGAAATTTAAAGTCTCTATACTTTTGAATTTTGTTGTATATAACAAGAGGAAGCAACTATGTATGTGGAGAAAATGAGACATGTTTAATAAGGATTTATAAGAATAATTATAAAGTGTGAAAATGTGTTGTGAAGATAAAGGGTGTTTTGGTCGTAAAGATGACAGTCCCAAATTAATAAACAGGGATATGACCCAGAATGAAGTGAGGGTTTGGACCATTTGTGAACAGTTTGAGAAAGTTGCAAAAGGAATAGCTCTTATAGAGCACATTTTATGTGTGATCAAGGCTTTTAGATTTTGATAGATGTCCCCCAAATAAACTTTGATTCTCTTCCTTCACATGGAAAAGAGTCTTGCAGCTAGAAAAAAAAAAAAAAAAAAGGCTTGGCTCAGTCTCCAGCACTGGATAACAAGGAATCAAAGGGTGGTGAGGGTAGGGAGGAGGGTCCTGGAACACTGATCTGCTCTTGATAGGAAAATGTGAGAGTTCTGTGTGCATATGTGCATGCCTGTGTGTATGGATGCACATGTGTGTGATGCAGGTGGATGATTTGGATTATAACATCTTTTGTGTTTTGTGTCTTTAATTTTCTTTCTTTCTTTTTTTTTTTTTGGTCTTTTTGAGACAGGGTCTTCCTGTAGCCACCACTGGCCTGGAACTCACTATGTAGACCAGGTTAGCCTCAAATTCACAGAGATCAGCTTGCTTCTGCCTCCTGGGATCAAAGGCATGTGCCACCACACTCAGCTTGTGTCTTTAATTTTTAAATTTTGATTTCTTTTGTGTTACGTTATAATGATTTTATTTTACTAAATGTTTTAATATGTCCTATGTTTTTACCACTAATTTTGGGGTTTCAGAGGGTCCTGGAAGTCCAAGGGACATATATATGACCTATATTTTTATACATGAATTTGTATATGTTCCGAAGTTACATGAGCTCTTTGGAAATCTGATGTTTCAATGTATGTTATCAATTATAATTCAAATATAAACCTATTATGTGTTGCAAGAATAACTGAATTTTTTTCTCTAAATCCCCTTAGATAAAAAAATATTGTATAAAAATATTAATTTTGTCTCAAATCTACTATGTAAAATGAATTTGTTCTGCTCTGCTATTTTTGTTTTGTGTTTTCCTTTTAAAATCTTATAGCTGTTGCCTGTCAGAATTCTGAAGAATATCACTGTTAACAAAATTACTACTCCTACAAGATAGATAAAATTAAACTAGCGGATGGATTCCAGATTAAGTGTAGCCTGAGACCCACCCTCTCTAAACCTACTCTTTGATGCTCAAATGTGACTTAAAGTGTTTGGACACTGACTTTTAGTCAGCAATAACTTTCTCTTCTTCACAGGACCAAATCAGAGCAACTCCAGGGGCAGGTCCATCTTGGGAAGGCGGGACAATCAAAACCAAACTACAGAGTGTCTAATAAGGGATGTTATCTAGAAACAGTCATACAAAGACAAGGGACAGGTGGGTGGGATCTAAGCAAATGGGTATGAATGAAATCTAGAGATTACAAAGGAAGGAATGTCATGCACAATGGCCTCGTGCCCACCAGCTGCCTCTGCTCAGAAGGTGGCACTCACAGCTCTGACAAGACCCTCTATTTCTGTAAAGACAAAAGAATAGCCATTTTCACAGATCCCCATATGGAGCCATTGGAAAGTCAGAGAACCTCCCACATAGTTTACTTAGCTGGGTACCATCTGTCTTTGGCTCCCTTTTATGTTCTGATAGACCAATTACAATCCATCTTTTCTTATGGCTTAAGCTTTGGCTCCTTTAAGCTATATGTTTCAGCCACTGTTTGAAGGCCCAGCTTGTTCCCTTTCTCATAGGTACTTGATGGCCCACAGAGGAAATCTAGTATTAGTCCCCTCCTCACCTGGGGCCCCTGCACACATTTCTAAATAAGTGATAAGCAGTTTGTTTCCTTCAGCCCAGGTTTATACCTTGTTTTAGTAATCAGTAGTCAAACTGGTTGTCATATCAATTCCTTGAAGATTAAGGATGAACAAAGATGAGAGAGAGAGCTACTGTCCTTGGCAGTGGAACTTTTGCCTTCCGTTCCTTTACCTCACTCTAATCCTCACTCTAATCCTTTTTGCAGCTTTCCCATTTCCCTGTTTTGGCCCAACAGTCTAAGTTCCCTTTCTGTTTGTTTTTGGGACATGGCCTCAGATAGCCAAGGCTAGCCTTGAACTTACTCCGTAGTCAAGGATGACACTGAACTTCTGATCTTTCTATTTCTGCCACTCATGTGATGTGTGGAGATTTCTGATAACACTAAGAATTCTGGGCTTCCAGGTAGACACCAGCCTCTAACCAAGTGCACTGTCAGTCCACCTCTTGCATGTGTGTGGGGGCAGCATGGTCAGAAAGAATAATGTGCTGGGTCCCCTATGAGGATGAAGAACAGAGAAGTGATGGGAAAGATGTTGGAGGAACCCAGGTGAGCATGTGCTGGCCCTTACTATGTTTCTGTACTGTGTATGTGCTACTTTCTAATCTCAATCTCTCTCTCCCTCCATCCCTCCCTCCCTCCCTCCCTCCCTCATAAATATACCTTAACCACAGAATCAATTCCGACTATTTCTACTTCACCAGACCCAGTGAATGAATGAACCCCCCACCACACCTTAAACTAAAAATAAACTACCAAGGAGATCAGGAACATTCAAAAGAGGCAGACCCCACCGTGGAGGGCTTCAGTTCAATAATATTTTGCTGGTGTTGCACAGCAACTGCGAAGTCTGTAGCATTAAAGAGCTGTCAGAAAAAAAAAAAGGCTGGAGAGATGGCTCAGCGGTTAAGAACACTTATTGCAGAAGACCCGGTTTGAATCCCAGTACCCACATGACAGCTGACAACTGTCCATAACTCCAGTTCCAGGGGATCCGACAGCCTCTTCTGTCCTCCATGGGCATTGCATAACACGGGTGCACTTACCTACACACAGGCAATACATGCATACACATAAAATAAAAACAATAAACAAAATATTAATAAAAGAGCTGCCAGCAAGGGAGAGAGAGGCCTGCAGACCTAGTGGTTGCCCTCTTTAGTTCTCAGCCAGGCCAAAATCCTTTTTTTTTTTTTTTTCGACTGTGCATTGTCTTTTATGCTTTGCCAAGTGTGATTCTTCCTGCTGAGCCTCCTTGTGGATCCAATTGGTTTATTTGTTTAGTAGACAGGCAACTCTACTCTTACCCATGTAGTGTCCACAAACCTCCAGCTCACTTACTAGAGAGTTCTTCTCTGTGTTTTGCTCTGAAGACTCTGTACAAGGCCCTGACCTCCTTCAGCTCCTTCTCCTGCACCAACAAGCTGACGATCTTCCGTCCCAGAAACCCTCCTGCTCCTGTCACGAGGCAGCTCCACCCAGGCATGGCCAGTGCAGGAGGATCACAGTAGGGAGTGGGTGTGATGTAGGGTGACCCTGGAGAGGGCTAGAAAGAGAACTCCATTAGACACAGGGTCAGGGAGTTCCCCCACGATGACAGAGTAGAAAAAAATGTACTCAAACTCATTTTCTCTCCCTATTTTCTCACAGCATATCACTTCTGTGACCCCCAAATATCTGGGACTTTCTTCTTAGGCAAGAAATCAGTTCTGCAGTAGACATCAGATGTGTGTCAACTAACCTATGTCAGCTTTGACACTGAGACAGTGTCAGATCCCACAGGGGCTGTGCCTCAAGACTGCCCCTTTACCTTAGAGGTCAGTTATAGCTCTAGGTTGTCTCAGCTGTGTTTCTGAGAAACCTCTCACAGACTGGGGCCCCGCAGCCCCTCATTGTGTGTGATTAGCTCATTCACCTTCTCATAGACCTCAGAGAAACGCTTCTTTACATTTGTTAGCTTGCTGTGAAGAACATGACAAAGGATGCAGAGGAAGAGGTACAAAGGATGAGGTATATTGAGGAAAGGGACCAAGGCTTCTCTGTTCTTCCTGGACTCACCAACTTTAAGAGTCATTACCTGCTCAGCTTTCCAGAAGCTTTCTGAGCATGGTGCTTTTGGAGTTCCATAGAGGCTTCATTTTGTAGGCATGAAAGATGCCTATGTAGACAATTCAGATGAAATGTGATTGGACACATAGAACTTGGCCTGGTGCTAGCAGATGGGGTGAGAAGCCATACACTGTGCCTGTTGATATTCTCTACAATCCTTCCTTGAGAGTTATAGAGCAGAACCTGCTGGACTGAGGACATTCTCATGATCAGTTTCTACAGTTTAAATTTAAAATGTCACCTGAAGCCATGGTAATTTTGGGAGGTGATGCAATATTTAGGAAGTGGGGCCTTAGTGGAGGGAAGCTGGTGCCATTGGGGCCATGACTATGAAGGGGATATTGAGTATCTTTGCTCACTGTTGTGATGGTTAGCCTCATCAGAGTCCCAAATAGCAGAGTCAAACAACTGTGGTCTGAAACCTGAGAAACTGAGCTTATCCAATCATTGTCCTCAGAGCATTTATCTGAAGTGCTTTTGCCACAGTGGTAGAAAGCTTACTAACATAGGAGCCTTTTAATTAATTTTTCTTTATTTATTTTTATTTTATATATATGAGTGGTTTGCCTGAATATATTTAAGTTCATTATGTGCATGTAATGCCCACAGAGGCCAGAAGGTGTCGGATGCGTTGGAACTGGAGTTACAGATGGCTGTTAGCCACCATGTGGGTGGTTGGGAACCAAACCAGGTCCCCTGCAAGATCAGCCAATGCACTTAACTGCTGAGTCATCTCTCCAGCCCCTTGAAGGGGAAGGATTCGAATGCATCATGCCTCACACTATGACAAAAGTCTCTGCTAGAAGCACCCAGTGCAGAAAGGCCCCTGCAACCTAGCATTGACAAATGATATTGCCAGGACATCCTGTCAACAAGTCTCTTTCTACCTCTAGCTAACTTCACTCTGGTTATTAATCACTGTGGCCTTACCTAGTTTGATCCCTGTTGCTGTGATAAAACACTGACCAAAAGCATCTTGGGAAGTAAAGTGGGTTTTTTTATTTTTTTTATTTTTTATTTTTTGGCTTATACTTTCAGGTCACAGTCCATCATTGAGGGACACAGCAGAACTCAAGGCAGGAACCTGGAGGCATAAACCATGGAGGAATGCTGCTAGCCCTCTGGTTCATGTATTCATAGGCTCATTCTTAGCTTTCTTGTGTCTTTTGGGACTACCTACTCCAAAATGGTGCTGTCTTCAGTGAGCTGAGCCCTCCTGTATCAATTGGTGATCAAGACATTGCCCGCAGACATGCCCACAGGTCAATCTGATCTAGGCAATTCTATTGAGGCTCTCTCTTCCCAGGTGACTCTAGGTTATGTCAAGTTGATAATTAAGGCTAACTAGTCCATGGCCAAGTTATTCTTCCAAACTGTTTGATGTCCTAATGCTCCTAGATCTCCCCCTTGCCTCACCTCCTTTTAGGAGTGCATAGTTCCCTGCAGCACATGTATTCCGCTTCAATCTGCTGCTGCTCGCAAGTTAATATAATTTTTTTTATTGGGATGAATTGCTTCTGATTTTTTTTTTTTTTTGTTTAGGTGGAAAACAGCAGGGGAATAAATGGTCTCTTTGGAGAAACTCTCCAAGGTGTGTCCAACCTGCAGCCTACAGGCTGCATGTGTCAAGGACAATTTTGAATGGAGCTCAACCAAAACAATCAGAAATTTATTTAAAACATTACAAAATTTGCTTGCAATTTAGTGACTTGATTTTGAAGTTCTTAATCAAGAACTTTGTAGGGGACCAAGTCCTTTTGTAGTTTCAAAAGGTGGGACACACCTATGTGGAAGGTGCCAGAAGCACTAGTTAATGTCCCACATGGGGCTATTGCACAGAGCACAGCAGTGTTTACTCTATTGTTAGGGAAAGAGGAATTTACTGCCTGGTTGAATTTACTGCTTGTAACCAATTAACTCAACTGGAGACACAGGCATCCGGAGATAGGGGCAAGTGCTGCAGCCCCCGGAGCCTGACCTGTCTGATCTATGTCATGTCATGTAGGCATGTCTGCTTACACAAGATAACAGGGAAGGGTCGCACCAGGCACATACCACCCATCCCTCCCCGATTGAGACACCTGAAGGGAGTTGTAACATTTTTTCTTGTTTTGAAGTTATTGGTTTGTGAAATGCTTGCTTTGAAACTATTGGTCGTATAAGCGCGGGCTTTTGTGTAACGGTTGTGGGAGCCTATATAATCTTTACCTGAAATTGCCTCGGGGTCAATTGCTCCAACCAGACCTGTGTGTCTTGGAAGGATGGTCAGCCCAAGCTAGCTGGCCTAATAAAACTCTGCTTGATTTTTGCATCTCCACACTCGTGCATTTGTTCTCCTGAAGAGACCCACCGAGTCATGGACCCTAACACTATACATTGACATCATGTATGTCTCAGTGGTTCATGTTTAGCATGCTCACTTCATATTGCCTGAAGGGTGTGTCGACATGCCTAAGGATGTGCATAGGTTACACTGGTAGGTCGAGAAATATTCTCCAATTTGTTACATATTCCTCCCTATAATACAGATTGGTAAAGAGAGGCAACCATTTTGCAAGAAGCCTGTTGAAAGATGACTTCCATCCACCCTCACTTTTCCAACTGAAGCTTCCCTTTGGACTTATCACAGGTTTTGATGTTACAGTGCTGTGTAGGGTAGTACCTCCAAGTAGACATGTACCACTTCCCATCAAGCATTCAGGCACAGGAGACACAGCTTGCTTGCATACAGTGGACTTAAAACATTTCAATTTCCATAATCCTTTGAACTATTTTAATTCTATGTGCTGTGTCAGTGCCAGGAATTTCTCTTTCCTATCCCAGAGACTTTTGCCTGCTCTGTCTTGTGCATAAGGCTTTGTGTTTCAGCAGGCTTTTACACCAAATGACCTTGGTCTTTCCTCAGTCTTTGTCTTTTACTATTTTTTTTTTTAATGTGTCTTGATAGTTAGACTGGCCTCACTTGTGATTTCCCTGCCTCCCGTTCTACATAAAGATCTCAGGCCAGTGTCAGTCAACCCCATTCAACCCTTATTTTGATTCTTCAGTGCCGGGGTTCAAACCAGCAACCCCTGGCGAGGTGAGGATTGGGGATGAGTAAGCACGCCGGGGACACTCAGACGCAACAGGGGGCCTAGTCAAGATGGGACTCATTTATTGCAAGTGTTCCAAAGCTTATAAAGGCACCTGGGACTCCCCACTCCCCCCATGAGGGTGTATCTTAAGGATGCTCACGTGCTGATCATGCACTCCTCAGCAGTGCCAAAGTATTCTTCAGACTTTCAAAGCAAGCCAGGCCATGCCCCCAGTAACTTCCTTTCGGACCTATGCAAGGTGGGGCTTTTAGGTCCCCACACTTCAGCTTGATTATTGCCCCAGGAAATCTCATATAGCAGATCTTTCATTGCAATCTTTGTATTTGGACTCTTAAAATTTCTCCTAACTGAAATAAATGCAGTAAACTTGTTTGCAGTGAACTATGTTGTGTAACCAGCAGAGGGTCCCTTGCATTCACCTTCAAATAGTGATGCATTAGCCCCACCTGTGCCTAGTGCATTCATTCTACTTCTTAGCAACCATTTAAAACTTCCACCTTGTTGAGAAGAGTCTTATAATTTTCCTTCCCCCACAGCTTGCTTTCATCTACACCAATGTTTTTGATAAGAGAATAAGGTGCTGGGATCTCTTCATTAACCTCATATTATCACCAGTATGTTAAGACCTGTAACAGGAAGCTGAGACAGCAAATTTGACAAGGCTTCTCTGTACTTTGATTTTTGCATCAGTAAGGTTACATGGGGTGCCCCTTACCAGAACATTTACTGTGACCTGGGTGGTGACTATATTGTGCTGATGAATGTCCTGATCATCATGAATTAGTCCCACATGCGCTACTCAGAAGGCGTACAGTAGTCTCATCTGGGGTGTTCCACTTGGTATCTATAGCTGGGCAGTCCCCCTCTCCAGGTAAATGAAACAGCTTTTGCTCAGCATACTTCCTAGCTTCCATAGGGTCTTTGTATCCTTCTCATATAGATAACCTCCTTGAGGGCCAAGGATGTTAGGTGTGTTCTCAGTTGTCCAGATACAATTTTATTCTCAGAAGGCAGTTCTGAGACTGTATACTAAATTTAGGCAGAGTAGACTCTCAGCTCTATCTAGTATCCAGTCTGCCTCCTTTTTTCTTTTTAACTCAATCTGTGACCCCAGGCCATGGGATGGTGCTATCCACAAAGAAAGTCAGTCTTCCCTGGTCTGTTAATCTTTTCTGGAAATGCCCTTACCTACATAGCAAAAGGTACAGCTTACTAATGCCTTAGGGCTTTCTTTTTAAATATTTTATTTGTTACTTTTGTTTTACGTGTACGAGTGTAATGCCTGTGTGTAGGTAGGTGCACTCGTGTTGTGCAATGCCCACGGAGGTCAGAAGATCCCCTGGTACTGGAGTTACAGATGGTTGTTAGCCACCATGTGGGTGCAGGGAATCGAATCCAGGTCCTCTGTAAGGGCAGTCACTGCTCTTGATCACTGAACCATCTCTCCAGCCCCCTAGGGCTTTCTTAATCCAATTAAATTGACAATCATAAGAACTACGATTAAAATGTGGTCAAAGTATGATTGACACAGAGGCTTACTCAATGCTAGCAGACTGAGCCGGGGAAATCCAGCAGCATCTCTGTTTAACTTGTTCATCATGTCCTCCTGGAGAGCACAGAGCAGGACCCCTTCAGAGTGTAGAAGTTCTTACATCCTGCCTTATAAAGAGTGATAGGCCAGGAACTGTGAACCCAATCCAAAATTATAAATCACAATTTCACAATCCTCTGTCTCCCTCTACAGCATTATGGTGAAATCCCACTCATCCCCACCACCAAGAAGAAAATGAAAGCTTCTAACCTGATACACTGTGAAAGGGCAGACGAAAGCGCTTTGGACCTGGTCTCCTCTTCTCCAGTCAGTTTGAATTTTATGTGCTGTTGCCTTCAGCTGAGTCAAAAAACTTTGAACTCTTGCTGTGTGTACATTGTTCATGGGCACTAAGATAATACGTGGCTTTGGTTATTTGGAAATGTGTTGTTATATCACTGGTGTCATTTTCACAGAATTGAGCCTTTATTCAGTTATTGAGTGAGGGAACTTTGTGACTTTGGCCAGGGAATGGCACTTATGCAATATGGAACAACCTTAATCCAACCTATAAAGAATTTATTACCAAATAACAGGAAAGAGTTTTATTCCCTATGTCAACGATAGAAATTAATGATTACCAACAACTCTGAAGGGAGTTTGTCATCCAGACTGGACATTGTTCAAGTCATTTAAAATTGTTTTTTGATACTTATTTTTCTTATTTTTAATTATGTGTATGTGTGTGTCTTAGTGGGTTACAAGCAATTTTGAGTTGCCATATCTAGGTGCTGGGAACCAACTAACAGCAGTACCAGCTGTTAACCACTGAGCCATCTCTCAAGCCCCTAAAATATTTTAAATTATGTATTTAGTTTAGTGTGTGCATACATGAACATTCCTTAGGATGTTGTGCATCCCATGAGTGGTCAAAGGACAACTTGAAGGAGTCAATTATTTCTTTCCACACATGGATATCAAGACTGAACTCAGGTCATCAGGCTTGGTGGCAGGCACCTAGTCTCACAGAGGCATCTCTCAGACCTGTCATTTATTTTTTTGAAGAGAAGATTTAATAAAATCATATTGATGAGAATAGAACATTGAAAATGGTTAAGCAAATTAAAAAAATGAATAGTTCCATTCTTGTCTTTGTCTAGAAGCCAGAAATGTCATTGGCTCTGTTCCAGCCTCTGGGGAGCTCTAGTTTCTTATGTTTCTTCTCCTAAATTAGCACCTCTGCCTGGAATCTATTATTGATTCTCCAATTTCAGTCCATTTCCTAAATGATTTTAGGATCTCAACTCTTGAGGTGATAGGGATGTTAGGCAGCTAAGTCAGAGATTAGTAGCTTTAGAGGAGATTCAGGATGACCTGAGTGAGTGAAGCTTAATGTAGGAGTCCTGTCCAAGGACCAGCATTATGCAAATTCTTAATCTCTACGTTTTGGCCGTTTATGACCTTGTGTGTTCCTGGCCCTCTGCTGCATGAAGGAGCTTCATTAATGAGAATTGAGAGAGCCATGAGTGTCCTCTTCTTTACCCCTGTTTTATGTTGCATGAGCCTTAGGTGTAGAGGTTGCATTGCAGATGTGTCGCTTAGGCCTGAGCAATTCATAGACAATGTCCATGTCTGACTAGTTGTGGTACTTGGTAATAGTCTCTGACTGGTGCAAAATGAGCTTCTTTGATGAGTGGTGACTGGGATATTTGTCTGTAAATATAAGGATACATATTTTGCACATAGTAAGAAATTACATTAATCTAGGGGTGTGACAGTCTTGGGTTTTTTTTCTAAAATCTATGACCACTCCAGCTGTGTGTATTTGGTTATGTTTACAGTACCACACTTGAGTTTCCTCCCATTGAGTGGGCTTTTAGTCCAGTTAGGTCGCTGTTGAGTGCCCTCAGTATAAAAGTGCCATTACTGCACCAGTGTCATGCACTATACCGGCCACTGATGTGGTTATTTGGACTTGAAAATGGTGTTGGACCATCAATTGATGTTTTTCCTTGGCACTTTCATAGTGCTTACAGCTCTATTGCTCCAAATCCTGCATCCGAAGTATGTTATGTCTTCAGCAGTAGGGTCTTTCCTTCAAGTTATGGGAGACCATCAAGGGCTGTGGCAATAGTTTGTGTAATATTGAGAGTCTCTTGGACCACTCTGGCCAACAACTTAAAGGAATGTTGGCACTGTTTCTTATTATGTAGCCTTTAGCTATACACATGGACTCACGTAGAGATACCATATATGTAATTTGTCATTAGGTTGTTGGACTAATATGATTTCCTCTGTTTTTAAAAACTAGCTAGGCATTATTTATCTTCTTCCTCTCTCTCCCTGTCTAACATTTAACATCCAGAATATATAAAGGAAAGTCCTTCTGCCATGATTTCCCCATTTAAATTGTCCCCTTTTCCCCATTTCTCCCTTGATATGGTCCCACCTCTCTTGAGCTGCTTCTTTCCCTTTATTCCCGAGGTTCCTTGTATAACCCTTCCTCCCCCTCCCATTTAAATAGCCCCAATTTTATCCATTTCTCTCATAATAACACCTATCTCCTACTGTTCTCCTCTCTCAAGTTCTTTCTTTCCCTTTAGCTCCTTGGTTCCTTTTCATTATTCTGGTTCCTGGAGTTACTTCACTTAGTATAACAGTTTCCAGTTCCATCCATTCACCTGTAAATTTCACAATTTAATCTTTCTTTACTGCTGAGTAGAACTCCATTGTGTAAACGTACCACATTTTCATTATCCATTCATCAGTTGAGGGACACTTAGGTTGCTTTCATCTCTTAGCTATTGTGAAAAGAGCAGCAACAAACATGGATGTACAAGTGTCTCTGCAATAGGATGAGTCCTTTGGGTATATGCCAAGGAGTGGTATAACTGGGTCAAAGATAGGTTCATTTTTAGTTTAGTTTTTTTTTTTTTTTAATGAGCTGAGTTCCACACTGCTTTCCATAGGGGTTGCATGAGTTTGTAATTCCACCAACAGTGAATGAGTGTTCCCCTTTCCCCATATCCTCTCCAGCATTTAGTATCATTTGTTTTTTAGCCATCTTTATTTCTCTTTTGAGAACTCTCCATTTAGATCCTTAGCCCATCTTTTAATTGTGTCACTTGCTTTCTTGCTTTTTTGTTTTTTGAATTCTTTATATATTTTGGATGTTAAATCTCTGTCAGATGTGTCGCTGGTGAAGATTTTCTCCCACTCTGTGGGTTTTCTCTTCAGTTCCTTGGTTCCTTTTGCTTTTTAGTTTACTAAGGTCCCACTTGTTGATTCTTGTCCTTTCTTCCTAACAAATTGATGTCTGGTTTAGAAAGTCTTTTCCTACACCCATATCTTGCAGGTTATTGCCAACGTTTTCTTCTAACAGTTTCAGAGTTTCAGGCTTCACATTGAGGTCTTTGGTCCATTTGGAGTTGACTTTTGTGCAAGATGAAAGGTAGGGGACTAGTTTCATTCTTCTACAGGTGGAGATCCAGTTTTGCCAGCACCAGTTGCTGAAGATGTTGTTTTTCCTCCAGTGAATGTTCTTGACCCCTTTTTCAAATAAAAAGTGGCTGGAATTGCATGTACTCATGTTTGGGTCTTCAATTATGTTCCATTGATTTACAGGTTTATATTTGTGCCAATATCATGCTGTTTTTATGACTATAGTTCTGTAATATAATTTGAAATCTGGTATAGTAATCCCTCTATCATTGCTCTTTGTGCTCAGGGTTGCATTGGCTATCCAGGTTTTTTGTGGTTCCATATGAATTTTAGCATTTCTTTTCCTTATTCTATGAAAAATGCTGTCTCCCAAACTGCCTGTTTCTTCCAAGGGGCAGGGCCTGCTGCAGAGAATTGACTGGGGAGGGGTTTTTCCTGTGCCATCTGGGGACAGAAGCCACGAGCCGCCAGGAACCCGTGGTGGCAAGCGTGGAGAGAAAGATGGCCCTGGCATCTCACCCACGTGGACATGAGAGGGGGCATTTACTGACCTGGGGCGAGACTATGGGCCCAAGATGCGTGGGTGAAAGTTAACAGGAGACTATGGGCGGGCCACAGGAGTGGTCTGGATTGGTGGGCTCTGAGCTGCAGTGCAAGAGTGCTTGTTTCTTTGTAAGTCTCCCAGTTTACCCCTCCCTACCCAAGGGCATAAACCATAATAAGTTCACATAAAAATATATTTTATGGTTTGTCTGATCTAGCAAAAGACCCCAAGAGAACTCTGGTGACAAACTGGTGTAGTCCAGCCTGGATAAATGAACCTTAGCCTTGGGGATGTGGGTCTGGAAAAGCATTGCTGTTCCTGCTGCCTCTGTGGTGGGTCAGCTGGGCTCTGATTTCCAAATCCAGGAGCAGCTGCCAGGAACCCAGGGGAAAAGGCAATCAAACCCCATACGGTTAATGGGGTTAGCAATAGTCACGTGGGTTATACAATGGATTATAATATATGTAACTAAAAAGAGGCCGACCACACAGAAGCAAGGGCCACAGTTCTGTTTTAAATGTGGGGGTATGTTGCAGGTATGTGAAGATTTGTTACAGGTTATCCAGAGGCTAGAAAATCTTAGTGGCTCTGGACCCAAACAGAGTGCCCAGAGAGGGGGTGTGGCCATTTTACATAATAAAAGATGTGCCCCAGGCAGGGGAAGCTGAAAAGGCTAGGCAGGTCCTGGCAGATCCAGTGGCAGAGCTTGAGAGAGAAAAAAAGTGGGACACTTTGACTTGTGTAAGGTCCAAGGATTCAGAGGAAAAGACAGATAATAATAAAAAAGAAAATGTCCTAAAAATAAAAGTAGCTAAGGCTGCCCCTCGGATTAAACCATTGATACAAAAGGAAAAAAAAAGCTAACAGTGCTGTAGCTAGGAAATATTCCATACTAAAACTGTTAAAACTAGGAAAAAATTACAAGTAAGCAATGAAAGAGCCCCTAGACATGTGGCTTGTGAGTGTATGGAACATGGGAGCAAATGATATCAGTCTAAGTCCTACAGAAGCTTCACAGCTGAGTTATACAACCACCCATCTATCCTTGCGATATAGGCTGTTCAACCTAAGCCAATGCAGGGGGGAGCAGTCCTTAATGGGATGGCTGGTTGAAAGCATTAAAGACACATGGTTGTCACCAAGAGTGACTAACATGATTAACAGGGGCTGGAGGACTATGAAGGAGGAGCAGGCATTACTGAGAGAGCTAGGTATAAGAAAAGCAATATATGATGCCCCGTTCACTGGGCCAGATAAGACTGTGTTCACCAGAGATATGAAGGAAAGCTTAATTCAATTGGGACCTCGAGAATGGTATGGGGCTTTACTGGTTTTACTAAGCCCTTTAATGGGACAGGA